CTAGTAAAAAGGTAAATACTCTTTGTTCATACAGTATTAAATATAAACACGGCCATGTCACAGGCGCGTGGGACATGAAAATTGCAGGGCTATTCAATTATAGGTAATTGTAAGAAGCACGCAAGATGGGTTGCAACGTGTCCCATATTGTAATGCTTAGTTGAAAATGGCACGTTTTATAAGAAAACATTAGCATTATTATTATTACTAGCGAGTCTCCGGCTTCGGCCGGGAGCATAGCTGGTACAAAATTTGACCACCATTTAATGGATTATACATATGAACCTCAATTTTCAATCAATCTATCTATAAAAAAACACATCAAAATCGGCTGAGGAGTTTTAAAGATGTAAGCATACATAGGGATGTAGGGACAATAAAAGCGACTGTGTTTTATACTAGTGATTACTGCGTGTAAGTATAGCAAGTACACTTTCCGAACCATATTAAAATCCATTTTAATAATCTAAATTTTGTCGCTAAATCTTCACCGCGTACTTCACATTAAACCACCTGTGACCAACTTCATAAATGTAATTCATTTCAATGAGCAATCGCAAGTATTCTCGAGGAAAAACTTTCGTATTTTCTATTAAGTAATCTTTCAGAGCGGCGCTGCCTGTAATTGGCTCATTTCCCACAAATGGCCATCCCGAGCCCATTCAGTGTAACAAGGAGGGTGACGTCAGCCATTTTGTTCTATTGTCCTCTATGAAACTAGAATTGTCATATATTCTTTCAATTTGTTATTCTATAACTTATTGTATTTTATGACTAGATTCCACCAGCGGCTTCGCCTGTGTTGCAGATAAAAAGTAGCCTACGTGTACCTACCTCTACATACCAAATTTTACCCAAATCAGTCCGTCCGTTTTTGCGTAAAAGCACAACAAACATACACAACATTACATTTATAGCATAAGAAGGTTATAGCTTAAATTTTATTACCTACGGAACAAAGTAAAATTGGTCTAGAATCTATTTTCTCTTCCACGAATCTGATTCGGTACCATAGATATCTAGTGATGGCTCTCAACCTTATATTACCTTTAGGAAAGTAATAAAGGTTCTATACTTAGATGCGTTTGACGACTCAACCGTGCGTGCAATTTATAAGATTTGCCACTGAGTAGGTAAGAGTAATAATGTTATACGGCTCAAATTATGACTGCAGGCCAATTTATGATAGGCCATTTATATGACGGTCTTACGTCTGGACCTCAAATATTTATTGTCATGTTAGAAGCATCTATAAAAATGCCATTTATTATTTATCTCATACAATCTAGTTATACAGAGGAGGACGCAAAAAATATAAGTCGAGGCTGCGGTCAGGATTGCTTTTTGTGATTTTCTGATGTGTTATGATTTACGAGTTCGCCTCTTGTTGTTTATCGTGTTTGGGTAAAACATGGCCGTGTTGGCATTACTAATTTATTATCATTTAAGTGAAATATGGTACTTAGTACCGTGTTACATGCCAAGCTCTCATACATACATGTTTTTAGACCTTATGACCCGAACAAAAAGGTTATTTATTACAGCTTTTCTCCTACTACCGTTGTTGGAAACAAACTCCTACTAGCCAATAATGTTTCTTAAATTCCATACATGTATTCGATAGGTACCAATATAACCACCATTTAAGCGAATACGCGATAAGCATTCACTAACAATTCTCTAGTCACAAGAACAGATGTCATTTATACAACACACATTCAAATTCAATGACGGTCTTTGATACCGGATTTTCCATTTTTTGTACCTCCGTGTCAATTCATATATGTACCTACATTTATATGTATATCAGTCATATCTTATGGCTTTTAATATTCAGGAACTACACCGGGTACGATATTACGTGCCTGTATGAATCAATATAATATAGCTAGGTACCTAAGTACAGGAATAACTCGAAATCAATCGCTTAGCGTGACTTCTCGTTCGTCCCATAAAATACCAATAAGTAATTATACTTTCACATCATTCTTTCAAACGATATCTTTCCACAAATTACTATTGACATTTAAAACAAATGACGTCGTAAATCGTCGATCAAGAAACTCTAGATTATTATAATAACAATTAAGAACAAAGCTTGGCTTACAATTACGATTTAAATAGGTACACGATTATAATAATAATTGTATTCCATTGTAACTCTGAGACTAAAACGAACAATGAAACTGATCATAATAAAAGTAATTTTCGATCATTACTTATAGCGCTAAGTGTTACAAAATATAACATTTTCATATACTATAACAATTGCGCATGATTCATTGACGAACAAAGATCCTATGTTACAATTATTGTATAATAATATTGCCTATACAATATACAATACATTAGTCATCCATTTTAAATGGTAATCTAATAGATTGAGTGTCTGTTTCAATGAAGACCCGGCCATAAATAGCAGTGACGGATGGACACACGTATAAATTAATAATTAGCGTTTAATTAATTGTTGGCCAGTGGCCCAATTAACAATGGATCGCTCTTGTGGTGTCCAGTCGCGACGCCTCTGTTTGCTGTTTAACCAATGTTGTGCACGTTGAATATATTTAATTTCAACGCCCTGCTTTTGGTTTTCTCAGGCATGAATTTGCTTTTTTAAACATTACGAAATCTATTTTATATTAATTGATTGAAAATAACGACTTACTCATGGGAATTAACTTTTTTTATGGTATAAGTCGCCCAATAACACCCACAACACCAGAGGAGATATTGTGGAGCATAGTAACAAACAGTTGTTAGTTACTAAGCCCTACAATATGTAGCTCAAGCTATTTGTGTTTGAATATTTTGAACAAATTTTAAATAACGAAAACGTCGCTGTAGCATTCAAACCATGGAATTATTAAACAGTTATTTCAATTAGCAATCATTATAATTTCCATCCCATTGAGTAAACGCGATCGCACCGTCTTCGTCGGTTCTTTTATATCGATTTAAAGTATCTAGTTTCTTTAGCACTGTAATTACCGCAGGCCCACCCGCGGCAAGCAAATGCCCGCGATATTGTACCTACATACGGACAGACGGTTTTTTAATTCTTTTCGTAGCCGGTACGAGCCGGTTGCCGTCGGCGTCGAGCAAACTCAACGCGATAATGAATATTTACTATATTTAGTAGTCGGTGCCTTTTTATGTCCATCTTGGGAGCTATTCATAAAAACTCAGTAATTAGCACATAATGTTTGTGCCTATCACAGATTCAGACTGTTAAATTTTAATTGCTGTCTGGGTTTTTGTATTGCGTCTTTATTACTAAGACCATATATTCATTATTTAATTAAGATATCAATTGGTTGGATAAGTTTGTTCAGGTTAAATTGTACGTGAATTTTGGTTGCTTTTTGTAGTTGCTACTAATGTCTATATTAATGGCCATTTGCATAATTGAAAAGCTCGAATTTTAGAATAAAGTTAACAATAATAATTTTTTCAAAGACATCATCAGTCTGTACATCATATAACATTGAATAGTGCTCATGCACTATAGCTTTCAACTAAAATTACACTTTTTATGCTTACGAGTATAACGTAAGAAAATTCGATAAATACTAAAATTGTTAGATATTTCTAAGAAGAATCTTCCAATATTAATAAAAGCAGGATAGAATGCATACATACATATCTGTTCTACATGTGTTCGCGACAGATGTCACAGTCGTAATAAAACTTGGTCCTGATTCCTGCGGGATTCATGGTACAACTCTTAAGTTGCGAAATCTTTGCGTACTTACCCAACTTTCTTGGAATACGTATAAAGAATTTCTAACATAGGTATACCTAATCTTCCATTTCGTTCTGTACAAGTCTAATTTAGGTTTAAAATAAACATAGCTATTACAAAAACGTTTCAAGCGACCATTAACAAAACGAGAACATTTTCAATTTAACAAACTTCATTTAAAACAGTTTAAGCACACCGTTTATTTTATAAATAGCATAAAAATGTCAAAAGTATTTACGACGGGCGTCGCCCAGTGGTATTATGTAGTACTTTTTGCAATAATTGCGTCGGAACTATGCGCCTATTTGCGTCTCTGTTGTTGTGGTTTATTTGCGTGTCGCGAGTCGTTGAGGCCGTTCACTCGGCGCACGCGCTGGTAACGCCACAATCCGCACTCCAGAATATATTATCTAGACTGGAGCTGCGAGTCTACAATGCTGGAATGTCAGCCCATGGAATACCAACAGTTATATAGGTTTTCTTGAGAATAGTTCTACTAAATGACTAGCAAGAGTTGCATCAAATATATAAACAGCTTTCGACATTGTACTACAGCTTACTAACTCACTTAATTACTTTAAAAAAATACAACTGACATGTTTGAACACTTTAAAAAACCCAAAAGGATTGTGTGTTCTTTTAAATCCTATCGGTTGTGAATAATTTCATTCGAGCTTAAGATATATAAATTATTCACTTTCAAACGTTCGCGTTGATACCTCTGCCCCGAGATTACTCTATGATAATATCCAGCCGTCGTCGTAGCAACATTGCAATGGCGTCGTGTGCTGACAAATGACACGACTGTATCGAAGCTACACCGTCGTTTGTCTTCATCTCTGGTGGAACGCGCTGATTATATCTCACTTTTTGCTAGTTACAGGAATAGCGGTATTACATTCCGTGTTTGCATATACAATCACGTAATCCGTTAAAAGCTATTATAGTATCCAGGAAATTGACAGACTAATGTTAGGATAAATTTTTTATGGAACCGAGCAGACTGTTTACCTGATGGTAACTGATCCGCGCCATCCACGGACGTCCAGAGAAGTCTCAGGCGCTGTGTCTGTCTTTTAAGTAGGGATACGCTCATTTCTTGAAGGTTTGAAGGTCATATCGGTTCGGAAATATAGCTGCCAAAAGACCATTCCGTTTCGCTGTCCGGTGCAGAAAGTTTCGAGTAACGATTAAAGATATTTCTTTAGGTCGCTGATACTACGAATGATTAGTAAATTGTTTTCTTTGTCCACAGGTCCGACAAGAATGTGGTCCCCCAGCCACAATGGAAAAGCCTGGAACATCTTCAGCACTGCCCACAGCCGGTCCGATCCGTCGCGACAACCTCCGAGCTCCACCACCAGACACCGAACTCCTGCAGTTCGCTGCTACCCTGGCGTCCACGAAGAAACTGTTCGCAGGACTTTCCGACAGGATTTGTGATGAACCAGATTTTGCTGCTGAGGATAGTGAGAAATGTTGGAACGGGAACGATGTTGCCGAGTGAGTAGTTTTTACTTGATTTTAGAACTTATTGATGTAGGTATAGGTACAGTTATTAATCTTTCTGCATAAATCGATTGTCCGGGTTCGTTCCTAAGTTTTTTTTTGTCAGTATTGTCAGTTCTGAAGGCTGAGGGCGAATTATTTTTTCGTTAATATAATTGAAGCGTTTCCAAGTTTACCCCTTTGATTGGTTGATGAAAAAGTTAGTGAATCAGAACGCTGAATATCATAAAAGAGTCGATTTAATGTAGGTAAAGCAAACTAGTATCAGGCACTCTTTTTTTTTAGGTTTTTCTTTACCTCAAGAATAGCAACTTTCATTAATTTCACCCAAATATTCTTGGCTTATTCGAAAACTGAATCCTCGTTAGTATTCATATTGAATTAAGCACAAATGGGTACCTACATATGTTGAACGCGACATCCTGCATGTTAATTTAATTTCAATTTGCACGAATTTCAAATACATAGATAGATGTATAGACAAAGCTGCGATATTGTGTCACGCAAAATATTGTCAGAACATTAAATTGACCTAGATAATGTTTACTTTACGACTTTAGTTAAATCTTTATGTAAACCCGGATTGCTCAATACGCTTTTAACAGATAGCACCAATACCCGTACTGCATATTATTAGAATAATCTACCTACTTATGAAAACCGCATTGGTTGGAAAGATGCCTGGTGAGAAAGAGGTCGTTCCTGGTTCAAGTATTGTCGAAGTTTTGTTTTTTAAATTATTTATTTTCAATAATAGCTAAGAGTTCAGAATACTGGGCAAACGTGTCATGTGAATTTTCGGGGGAGCAACACACCTTGCTTGCTCCTCACGTAATCGGCAAAACGTCACCGCTTTATGGTGGATTGCCACCCACACGCACGAACCAGATTCCGGAAAACACAGACTCCGGTGTTCCCCCAAGGGAAATATAACCTGTGTGTCTTCAACGCCAGATTGAATGGTCGCTTATGGGCGGCCAAATGCCTATCCTATACGAAATAACTACTGGCAATAAATTTTCACTTTAAAAGATCTTCACCAAACCCCTAGGTAATAATAGACATGACCTTATTTAATACTGTTATGTTTTCCATAGTTACACGAAGCCAGTGGTAGCGTCTGCCTCACTGAGTGACCAGAAATACAACCCGGAGATCAGCGGCAGCCCACCACAGGACTCAAGAGTCGCCAACTTAGGAGACAGACTCCAGCAAGCTAGACAAGTGAGTATTTGTTTTTTAATTAGTTGTAATGTGTATTTGTTTTTTAATTAGCATTTTGTAAAGTCAACTAACAATTGGTTTTAACGTCAATGGATTCGGTTTTATTGCACAAATAATTTCAATTTAAAAGTGTTAAATTTCTAAATAAAAAACAAACAATGCTACTTTTACGTTGGAATTTTATAGGTAACTCAAGAACAAGCAAACCAATCCACACCAAATGTTTATTTAGTCTTTATTCAGACTATTTATTAGATGGTTTATGACAAGCACAAAATCGCTCGATCATTGCAGTTCTTCATTGATAAAGTAGCGAAGCACGTACTGCGTCGCTAGTAAGACATATAGTGGTGTAATAATCAAATAATAATGATGACACTGACAGATCTCTATCATTGTTAACAGTCGCTTTAAATAAAGACGGTATCTAATTAAAACTCATCTTAATGACAATATCTATCTGGTCTCTTAATAAAATAACCATTAGCGTAACAAGGAAGCTTAAATCAAAGATCGACGTCAAGTGACCCAATCAAGCTATGATTTAGATGTTATACTCTGCAATATATGTATTTGTATTACTAAGAATGACAGTTGGTAAAAATATAAGGATTTTAGATTTTGAAATAGTTCCATGTAGAAATGAAGTATTAGAACTTTTTTTCAAACGAGCAGACGGATTACTTGATGGTAAGCCATCGGCACTGGCAACCTTTGCAGCACCAGAGGAGTTACGAGCTCGTTGCCGGAATTTTGGGGATTAAGTAGCGTTCTTTTAATGGGGAGTAGCCGCTCTGGTAATGTCACTCACACGGAGACACAACGTGGTGGTTATTTTAAGTCGGTTTTCTGTGAGGCCGGTCTATGACTCCAGTCGAGCCGACCTATTCTTGCCGAAGCTTGGCTCTCCCACGCTTGTCTTCAATTACCCTATCTTTAAAATTATCGCATCAATTTCCTTATGGGTAATTTGGGCAATGCCAATCAAATATTTATATTTTAGTTGAAAAATGCTCTTTTTCAGCATAAAGAAACATTAATTTCTATTACCTAACACCATATGTATATTGACCATATGTATTACGACTATGAAAATTGAAAATGCTCGCTCATTAGTAAACAGTTCGTTTCGCTATACAAAAGCCACACTAAATATAGTAGCTTAGTTCTGTAGTTAAAACTACTTCGCGCCAAAGAGTGCAAGCCAAGACAGTTGTGAATGGGGTCACGATTCTCCACAACGAGAATACTGCCCTGGAAAACAGAATGTCGCGTAACAATAGTTAAGTATACAAGCTTCTTAAAAATAATAAATAAACTCTGTGCCAATTGTTTGTAGAAGCAACAGTAGCGACCACAGTTTATTGTGAAAATAACGCAACGTTATGTTACTGTACTCCGCTTAAAATAAAAATAAAATTCGTACGTTTCGATGGTTGGGATATTTTGGTTAAAAACCCCAGCCAGCTTGAAGAGATTGTTTCAGCTGTATTATTTTTCGAAATTAAATAGTAGATACGTGTCTTTTCAGTATAAAACCTTACCCTACACTCCGATTTTCTCCTTTATCGTAGGTGCGTTTTCATACATACACTATCACATATAAAAGCCACCCAGATCGGAAACAACAATTTGTGGATCACACATAGTGTTGTTTCGTGCGATATCGAACCCGAGAATCATTGCTAAGCAGCCGGTTGCTGAGCCACTAGCGTTAACCGAGTAGTCAAAATTAAACTCATTATAAGCCGGAAACTTAGCATTAGAATATTTGCCCTACAGGCTGCATAAAGTACTACAAAAATAATTAAATTATAACAACTACAACTTACACAATTAATTTGAGGTAGACCCAAATAACACGAAATAGTTCGAGGCTTTGTAGATAAGGAACTAATTTATTTGAACAGGAAGGAAACGCCTAATTAAATATGTCATTAAAAACGTTAATTTGTACTTGTAATGGAAGGGGAAAGCGCCCGGGATCAGTATTCTCAGCTAATTGATATCGGGCTCTTCATTATCTACTTATTAAGGAAGGGTATTCTAAAAGTAAAAAAAGTTCTAAACCGTTCCGAAGTAACGCTTCGTTTAGTGCAATGCTTTGATTGCAAAGTTCAAGCAAAAAGTATAATTGAAATTTTCTACAGCATAAATCCACAGTTATGGGCTATAACTGACGATTTATGTTTTGTTGTTACGAAGACGAGGTGCTTATTGTAACTGCTGAGAATTTAGCCTTTAAATCAAGTAATTTTATAATCCCAAGTGTGGCTGGGCCAAGCTTCGGCGAAAATAGGTTGGCTTGACCAGAGTAACCACGGCCTCACAGAAAACCAGCGTGAAACAACCACAGCGTTGTGTTTCGCCGTGTGAGTGAGGTTACTGGAAGCCCAATACCTACCCCTCCGCTATCCCTTCCCAATTCTTAAATATCTGCAACCGTTATCTCCAAAAGGCCAGCAACGCACGCATGATTGCTTATACCATCAAGTAATACGAATATACGTTTGCCGACTTATCATTAAAAAATCTTATTCCTAAGGTTCCAATAAGTATTGAGTTATTTATTGTTGGTTTTCTTTCCACAGTTGCTAGTGTCGTACTCTCGCAGTAAGGAGCTCTCTGCGGAGGCGTTTATGCAGGGAGACGAAGCAGGAGAGGAAGGGTCAGGGTCTGGCCGCAGCTATCCTGACGACTACGACTCTGAAGGATCGGGAGAAGACGGTTCCGGAGAAAATGACGGACGTAAGTATTCAGTCATTCTATTTTTATGAAATGTTGTATCACAATTTATTCTACGTTACATTTACTTCTTTTATTTTTTGTCACAACAGAAAGCAGACCGGCTCTTAACGAGTCACCTCCTGATTCTCCGACACCGAAGGTCTTCAACGGCGCAAGCCCTCGACACCACGCGTCCATATTAGTACCAGTACTGGGCGCACTGGTCGCAACCATCGCACGACTCACCTAAGCCTCGCCGCAGCGCACGTAAGAATAACCATATCATATTGTGTGACGTCATGAGTGATCGTGACTGCCACGCACGCACGGAGCTCACGCTCTCGTGCTGTCTCGCTCACACCTCAGGGCGAGCCCGCTGTGCGAGTGTGCGAGGAACATAGTGTAGTGACGCAATAAAAGACACGTGAGTGATGCGTAGTGCGAGCGTTTGTTGTAGCTAGTCCTGAACTACAGTAGTGCCCGATGCCGAAATCCCGCGTATTTACAAAGATGCACGCGACATCTCGACATCAAGATATTTTAACGTTTGTAAATGTACAGTGCATATCCCAGTTAATGTACAGTGCATATCGATGTTGTCTTCATTTTGTAAATATTTTTTTGAACATTCTTCTTAGACTTAGGTGGAAATATACATTGTAATGGAAGCTTTACTATACTTCTGCATTTAAAAGTTTCGACGTGAAATTGTCAAATTTATTGTCATAATAATAATAATAAATTATTTGAAAAGTCTTTAATCGTTGTTGAACACTAGCTGATTGGCAATAATTTTATTAAGAAAATGTATAACGATTAGAAGTGAGAGCGAGTGAGAGCTCTGAAATAAGGATTCTGTGTACAGATTGTGTAAATACCTGAAGTCCTACTGGTCTAGGTGCTTAGCTAGTAAATATATTTCGTTGCCATATTAATATTACGGATATTATTATTTATAATATTAATTAAGTCATAATTTAAACTAATATTATGTTATGTGATACTGATTAGTTGATAAGTTGGTGCACTCGATGCATTGTATTGTTTATATACGGTTTGTTCGAGCATTAAGTATTTAAAACCCGACATCTAAATGCAAGTACTAGTTCCAACGTAACAATGTTTTACCGATATTATTATAAATAGCTGTTCGTTTGTTGTGTATGTATACATTGAGTACTGCAGGCCTAACTACCCATGTTTATTCTGTCTACAGATATATAATTTCGATATTATTTCACAAGTAAATGTAGGGTCAAACAAAATGACAAGATGAGAAAAATATAAAATAAAAATTATAAGTTATATTGTAGCAATAAAATACGTTTGTAAATTGCTTTAAAGATTAGTGAATATATATATTATATATAAAGTGTTGCGGTCATGTAATGACTGCGTTTTGTATGTATCGTAGATATGGAGTGTTTGTGAGGACCATTTGGAATGAGAGGGCATGTCGCTACCATCGCTATTTCGTAATAGTCACAGTCCCATGCTTTGCTATTTAGTGACTTGTGAAAATACTACGAATAAAACTTGATAAAACATTCATCTTTAAATTCAAGTCTCGTTACGTATGTGTCTTTATTTAATTAACATTTTAAAATTTATTTATAAATTAGCATCATTTTAAAAAACAGAACTGACCATAAACTAAATATTGAACGTCACTAACACATCCCTAAATCAATAAAATGTTGTCCAGTTGTCAAAGGCTGCCATGACAGTTGACACATTTGACGTTTAATTCTGTTTTCGAATTTCAATTTTAAATTTATTATTGTAATGTTACAGTAATACGTTATTATGTTCGAATGTACCAAAAATAACGACAAAGTAAAAAAAAATACATAAAAATAATCCCAGCAAACGAAATTATGACATTTTGCAAAGTCATGTAGGTATATAAGAAGGCTAACTAGAATGTTGCAGAAGTCATTTTGACAAATATCATTAATCAATAACGAAACGTAAAAGTCGATTTTCACAAGTCATTAAATAATAACCCTGTGTATCAAGTTTGAAGGAGGTTGTCGGAGAAGTTTTCGCGTTTGATCCGAGCCCCGCGCCCTCTTGACCGAGAAACTCGAGTATGTTGATCAGTTTCAAGTGTCGTTTTAGTAAAATTGCGCTCTTCGGGACAACGGAAAAACGTTCACAACCTTGACCGATATTTTTGAGAACAAATTACAATGACAACAACTTAGTTGATGTTATTTAGATAGATTTTTCATGACAAAAGCTAAAACTATATATAAAGTAGCATAAAACTGAATGTAAATTCTTTATGACTAAAGCGCAAAAGTAATTAAATACAACTGTAGTTTGTTCAACGGAGGTCTAATCCTTCCCCTCCCCCAATCCCTTCCCAAAAAGTCTCCAAATCCCTAATCCTCAAAAGGTTGGCAACGCCATTGTAACCCCTACGTTGCGAGTGCCCTTGGGCAGCGCTGATGGCTTACCATCAGGTAATGTTTAGCTCGTTTACCGACCTTTTACAAAAAAAAAACATCTCAGATCTCAACCTTTTCGAACTACACAGCGTTTATTGTAAGTATGTCCTTGTTACTCCGCGCCCCGGAATTACATAAACCGTACAACGTATCGCTTTTATAAACCCGAAGCAAAGTGTAGCGACATGAAACCCAAAACCTAATGTAAATATTGTTGGAGAGTATATAGAGTGGAATCGAGACAATTGCTGTTATATCTGAGTATATAATATGGAAATAAATTCTGTACTACACCCGCTCTTGTTTTATTGACAACCCTAAAACTTTTATACAATTTACATACTCCTTGAGTTACGACCTTACTCTACTCCTTTTTATGTTCGCAAATTTAGCGACGTCGACTGTATGCCATTTGTAACAAACTGAAACATATATTTTATGGAAATCATTCACGGATGTTGCTTTGTACCTACTATTGTTTGATACTTGCAAATGTATGACTTCAAGGGAAAAAGGGTTTTCCGACCCGTAACTTTCAGTTCGAAATGGCAAGCTCTAATTTGAATGTACAAAAGAACAATAGGTAAGTAATAAGGAAATATTTAAAACAGTAAATACAATTTCAGGTGCAAACATTTTTTTTATGAAGTTAATCTACCGTTACCACTGATGATACATCATCGTACGAGTTTTGCAATGATTGGTAAGTTTTGCAAGAGTACCTACATGATAGCCATCTATACTAATATTACAAAGAGGTAAAATTTGTAAGTTTGTATGTAGGGGATAATCTTTGGGACCGCTGGTCGGATTGCAAAAATTCTTTTACTGATAGATAGCTACAATGTTCCTGAGTGCTATAGGCTATAAAATATTACGATTAAATGGAGCCGAGCAGCGGGTGAAACCGCGCGAGAATAGCTAGCATATAATATCCAGCTGAATTGTAAGTTTGTTAATAAAAAGTTAATCTCTCTCATCCCACCCAGGCAGAAGGTTCATAATGATTTTTCCCTAAAAAACTCATTCTGATGCTTTCAAGAAATTTTCATCATACAAATCTCAAATTCTCACTATCAGACGTTTAAGAATTTCCAAGTAAAACGACGCGAAATTCTCAGAAGCCGAAAATTGTAAGCAACGTGGTCTAATCCTATTGTGTCACCATATCACGTATCGCTTAAGTTTATCCATTCAAAGAACAAAGCATCGAGTAAATAACGTAAAAAGCTTCTAGTACTAAACTTTAAAACGCTAAACCGTGTTACTAATCTCTTACATTTTTAATGAAACTCCAACTCATGTAAAAATAAAAACTGTTTTTTAATTTATTTCAAGCTTAGGTACCTACTAAAGCTCGCGCTTTGTTTAAAACCTTTGTTAGCATAAGCTTTACTGTATCTAGCACTTATTTTTACATACAACTGGATAAATAGGACTCGTGTATGTAGAAGTGAGCATTTCTTTATAAATTACACAAATAAAATGTCCAGATCCCTTTTTGACCCCATTTTATTTATAAAACTTTAAGTGTTTTTACGATTTCAAAAACAATAATAATGATTGTTTTTTAATAGTAAGTATCGTAAAACATACTAAACATATTAGAAATAGCGACTTCACTTGAAAAAAACGAGAATAACTCTACTGGTTTCAAGTCACAACGGGACTCTTATTCAAGCAGCGCGCGGGTCGCGGCGACGGACGTCGCACAGCCAACTGAGTTTATTCACGTAAGATATTCGAAAAAATGATGATCCAAAAAAAATACTTAAAAAACAAACCTAAAACAAGAGACACGATAAGTGAATATTAGAAACTGCAGCAGCCCAAACATATACATAATACGTATGGCACATTTTGACCCAGTTACACCACTATAAAGGGGGGAGGCAGATCATATTATACGTGAACACAAAGGACCATACCTAAGTACATTGTAGTGACGATAAAAGAACGTGCAGCTGATACGAAGCGTTGCATGCGACGCATCGGGAACACACCTACACCAGTGACTCAGATGTATGAAGAAATGGAGTTCTCGTTAATATTGTTAATCGCATCACTTAACCTCAGTATTCTTACGTGTCAGACAGATTAACTTGATTCGTAAGAGGACAGGAAACTACATTGATTGGAAAGAATTAAGCAATTTTGTTTAGGTGTTGAATTTTTTTTATTAAATTATTACTGTTTTCTACACTAACAGTTTTGCAAGTTGGTAGTCGCTAATTTTTTTCGCAGCTTGCTTTGCATTTTTATCTTTTTGGAAGTAAAATAAAACGTATCGAGTTTCTTTATTACCTACATTTACTCATCTTGACAATACGAACAAATATTTAAATCGCACATTTTCCGAATTTGAATTTGGAATTACGTTCTTTAAAATTTAAAAGATTCAATTACAATATTTAATAGATTTAAGATACAAAAACCGGCCAGATACAAATAGCCAAAAAGTTTTTATTACAAGTTCATACATAGGCACTATATGTAATAGGTACGAAAAGACTTTCCCCAACCTATTATTTTCTAATTGTTACCTATTTGCCCCTTTATTGCCGCTTCATTTGCTACCTCTTCCATGGTAGCACGGTGGCCCAGTTTCGGTATATTTTATTCATAGAGACCATTGTGCAGTATGCAGCCGGCCCGGATGGCGCGGCGTCATAATAACACCAGTAATGTGCGACTTTACCAACGCTTTTAACGTTATGAAACTCTGAACTGTGTGACATACAATGCACTTGCTTTACAATTAAATATTCAGGATTCAGTAACAAATCTTAAAAATATAACACTTCACTGTATCACTGCTTAGTATAAAACAAAGTCGCTTTTTCTGTCCCTTTATCCCTATGTATGCTCAAATCTTTAAAACTGAGAAACGGATTTTTGTTACGTGTTGTGACGAGTTATTGAAGAGTAAAGTCTACATTTATACCTATTGATATAGATAGAAGACAAATCTAGTATCAGCATGGCATCTGCGAAGCCGGGGCGGGTCGCTAGTTTTATAACATAAGTTTCTTATATGTACATAGTATACATATGTACTGCTTGATCCGCTATAGAAATAGTTATGTTACAAGCAACGTCTGACCTCTGCGATCCCAAGAGAATACTAGTTTTTTTCAAAAAGAAAAAAGTTTCGATGTTTCTTTAGCTGTTCTTTGCTAGTAATCCCTCAAGAACGGATATGTCGTTAAAGAAATTTCGTCGAAGCAAAAAGAATATTATACTTTTGGAATTACAAACTTGATATAACAATTGAAGTTGATACCTACAGAATTATGTGGTTTCAATCGATGTATATCAACAGAATCACAA